AACGAAAGATGGGTATGAACACATCCTAGTAATAGTTGATGCCTTTACGAAATATGTACAGCTTGTTCCGCTTAAATCTTTATCCGGGTCTGAACCATTACAGGTATTTAAAGAGCGGTTGGTATTATTTGGTACACCTCGCATGGTTATTATGGACCGAGGTACAAATTTCACTTTCAAATCATTAGAGCAATTTATTAAAAGCCAGGGAGTTGAATTACACTATATTGCCACAGGAACCCCTAGGGCAAATGGGAAAGCAGAACGGTATGTTGGTACGGTTACAAACTTGCTTACGGTTGAAGTAAGAAAAAATAAGGATTGGCCGAGTAAGTTATCAAAGATAATGCTCACACTTAATACAACGATTCAAAAATCGACGGGTTTCTCACCGAGTCGGTTACTGTTCGGGGTAGAAAGGAGCGCTGGTGCCGCAGCCTCTGCGGAAATGTCGTTGCCAGATACGAACGAACAAATTAATTTAAATGCGGATAGAGCGCTAGCTCTAGAAAGACTGAATAAAAATGCCGAAAAGCAAAATGAACGCTTCAATAGGAAGCGTAGAACAAATGTTACGTTTAAGGTTGGCGATTCCGTATTTGTTAAGCCCGCGGATTGTAGGAGAGCAAAAACAGATGTGAAGTTCACTGGACCATATACGATTTCGGATAGGTTACTAAATGATCGGTATTTGATAATAGGCGAAAGCGGAAAACCGTAAACGGTACCCAAAGACTGACTGCGGCTTTGGAAAGGCGAATGGTCAGGCGACAACGATGTTGTCAGTGAAGAAGAAAGCGCGGATGAGCCGTGATAGCGATACAGATAACTATTGTATAGCGGACAAAGTTTCATATTTGTTAAATTTAAATAAATGTTTTTGTTTTTCTTAACAAGTTTTTATTTTCTTTTATCTTCTTTATAATTAGGTTTTTCCTCATTTCATTAGTTTCTTATGTTCTCGTTGTATTTCTCTAGCTCTTTACATTTGTGCTTTGTTTCGCTTGGAGGGAGTATTGCAGAGTAGATGTCCGCAATGGCAGAAAACCAGGTTTAGTATAATTGACTATTGGGATGCGTTGCATCTACTAGCAAAAGATTGCAGTATAACTGGCTATTGAGACACATTGTGTCTACTGGCAAAAAGGTTGGCTGTTGAGATATGTTATTCCTACTAGTAAAAGGTTGGCTATGGGGATGTAGTGCATCTACTAGCAGAAGATATTGTAAGAAGTGACGATTGGGCCGCACATCGTCTACTACCAAGACATAGCAGTATTGAGAGTTATTGGAACGTGTTACGTTTACTAACAAAGGAAGGTAAAGTTTGATTGTATTGAAGGGGAAAAGCTGTCGAACCCAGTAGTAATTGGCTTGATGAGGAGTTTGAATGTATTCCGATAAAAGTTTGAATTATTGATGCTTCCCGAGAGCGTGAAGAGCAGGTCAGAATTGGCCGTGTTAGCGTCGGTGCGAATGTAAGGGTGATACACGTGCGAGGGTCATCGTACCCTCGGACGTCGACTTTACTTTTCAGGGGTCTCGAGATGCCGACGACGGAGACCTATGTCTGTCATCGGCTGAGGATCGATAGCTAGGTGCGCGACGAATTCTAAGATTCGCGGATGTTATGGTTAAAGCTATAAAGATCTCGATACACACCTCTTTTGGCGGTAGCCAACAGAGTTGTGTCCCGTGGCCGATGACCCGACGTCATGGTGCTGCGTGGCACGTGTAAAGAGATAAGGGTGTTCTAGGAGGATCTGGCCACGGAGTGGGGAAGGTGACATACCTTCTGGTAAGAGGACCATGATCGACCCCATGGCACTTATCCCAGAACCTTGAGAGAACACGCCTCGCGAGAAAATCAAATACTTTATATACATCTAACAGGCAGCTCATTTCGATTTCACTTCTTTTTTTAATTTCTTGAATTTTTTTAGGGGGATCTTCTATTTTTCTATGATTACTCTTTAAGTCCTCTATTTTTTCATGTACTTGGCATAATTTTATTACTTTTTTGAAGTTTTTTTATGGAGATCTCACTTCTTTTTACAACGATAATTTGTATAGTGAATAACTTCAAATAATAGAAAATGGGAGATCAGTTTGAATCCTTTAAGGTTTCAAAAGTACGCTCAATGCATGTAAGAAAGTCTTGTTGCAAGAAACCAAATGTCACAAATCCAAACTGACAGTTACAGGTTAGAAATGAACGAGCGGCATGAGTGACAGCCATATTACAATTCCGACCGACGAACCTTGCCGAGTGATTCCGAGAGTCGACGATTTGACGAATGGTCTTAGCTCCTATTGGCTAAGTGTTGACGAAAAGAATAAGAATTAGAATCAGAAGAAAAATCTACAATTTCTGTCAGATTCATGACATGATATTACGATATCTCAGTTGTACATAGACCGATTTTATTGATTTTGGTTTTATTAGAAAGCTTATATGGAATTTACATTAGAAAAATGTGCTGTAAAAAAAAAATAAGTGACTCCTACCGGAATCGAACCGCGTCCAGCGCAAAGCTAGTTTCGAAGCGACGACGAAAGTAGAAAGAAACAGTTCGATGAAGAAGGAAGAGAGACTGAGAGTCGACGCTGGCAAATGTAAGGATACGGGATCGGGATGCTAAGCGCGATTTCGACTTCAGTGAAATGGCAACAGTGTAGAGAGACGCTGTTGTGAGAACGGCAACACCGCAATTGTATCGACATCACGTTAGCAGTCGTTCTCAGTAAGCGCCATCTCCTATCGATTGTCTGAACTAAATTTGTGACGTCACTTGCTCTGTATTATCGTTAAAATGGCGGAATCTCGTTTTTGGGAATGCAATGCTTTGCCCACAGATTTTGTCCTTATATGAGGACAATTCATATCACTCATATCTTATTAAATATCGACACAATATCGTTCAACCACGACTAAAGCGCCATTCCTTGGACCTTCCTCTTTCGTATGAGCCCTCATTGAGCCCAAAATATGCTGATATAAGGACAAAATCTGTGGGCAAAGTTAACCCATATTTCGGGCCAGATTTTGTCGGATTACAGAGCGTGCATTATCGGTGTCTACCCCCTTAAGGGGATAGACACGGTTGACCGTGACCCTGACGGCAGGCACGTGACCTCTCCGATTTGGCTGGTCGGTATTACAGCAGATTTTTCTGCATAGAAATGGTAATACCCATAGAGACACGGCTGACCGATGAAAACGAGGTGGCGCTTTCTGCTGTTTCTGAATGAAGCGAGAAACATAATTCGCTCTTAGCGAGCGAAAATGAGATACATATAGTCTCTCCGATTTGTTTCGACCTCTCTTTCTCTCATCTACTGGCTGTCCCTTTTTATGTTGGTGCTCGGCGTAAACAGAATCGATACCTCGGTTGGGTATACATTGTAAGTACGTATAACCAAATATTCAAGTCCGACCAGCTTCGAATCCGTCCAGAGTTTCAAAGCGTCGACGAAGTAGAAAAAGATAGTTTGATTTGATTGAAGTTTGATTAAAGTCAATAAACATCTTTATATTATTTATTTTATTTTATTTGGTCGACTTTTTTCCTTTCTTTTTCTTTCTCCTACCATATATTTCCTATTTCCTGTTATCCCTTTATGCATTCATTATTGAGTTGTTTACTATGTATTATTATTATTATTATTATTATTTTTTTTTTTTTATATAACATAATCTTCTTAACATAATCTAGGAAGGCCTCTGTTGTTTTTGTTAATTACTAAATCAAAGTCTTGGTTTTGGTCCACTCCTTCATTCTCAAGGATCTTCTCCAGATGTTTCCTTTTCTCCTTGTATTTTGGGCAGTTCCATACGAAGTGGTTTAAACTCTCGCATGGGTGGCCACATTCGCACTCTGGTGATACCACCAAATTCTTCCTGAAAAGAGATTCTTCTAAATTAAAGTGGTTAGATCTTATTCGGTTTAAGAAAGTTATGTCGCCCCTCTCCCAATCGACGAACCAGAACCAAACTTTTTTCCTTCCGATATTTTTATCTGGCCTAACCATATATTTTTTTCCTTTAACTTGTCCTTGTGTTTCTAATTTCCTATCGTTCCTCTTCCATAATAGTATTTCTCTATTAACTCTAAAGTGTCTTATTGCTATCTTAATTTCTTCTTCTGGGTTACCTTTTAATCCTCTTTTAGCTGCCTCATCCACTCGTTCATTTCCTTTGATATTCTCATGTGCTGGGATCCGACCCAATCTGATTCTTGTACTGTCTTGGTTTTGCTGTATTCGTGTTATTTCTTTTTGATAGAGTTCGTCCAGTTTTTTCCCCAGTTTGTAACTCTATGGTGTGTCCGTTTTCCTAGGATTTTCTTGTTCAACTTTTTTCAGGACACTTATAGAGTCTGTCAGGATGATGGTTGTTTTATTTTTAAAATGCAAGTTGCTGTATTCCATTGCCTTCATGATAGCTATAGCCTCCGTCGCATATATTGTTGCTTTATTCAAAATGCTGTAAGAATAGCTACTCCGATACCATTGGCATCAGCTCCTTCCTTCTTGGATCCATCTGTATACATCCATACGATGTTTTTTCCTTTCTCGAGTTCTAAATCCTTTTTAATTTCATTTTTGAGGTCTTCCTCTGGAGTTTCTATATCTCTTCTTGATAGTCCCGCTCTCCAAGATATCTGGGGTTCTATTAATCGACTATTTCTATCTAATTGGATGTTGTCCTCTCCTATTTCCTCTTCCCACTTATAGAAATGCTGATCTTCTTCTTCTATAGTTTTGTAGGCTATTTCAAATCTTTGAACTGTTCCTTTGTTCGAGTACTTATATTTTATGGCGTTTTTTATTGTTTCCCATATTCTCATATTTCCTCTTTCCTTTAATTTGTACATATATCTGTACGTTAGTAGTTCCACTCTTGTTCCTAGTTCCATTACCCCTGTTTCCATATACATCATGTTAATAGGTGTCGTGATCCTGTATCCCGTAGCCGTTCTGATGCCAGCATGGTGAGCACGTTCAATCAATTCTTTCTTGCCTTCTCTTTTTTGCTTTCCTCTTCTATTCTAGCTCTCTCTTCTCTTACTTTGAGAGCTAGCTCTCTTAAAAATTGTCCTCTTGATGTAGAGGGACTACTTTCTTCCGGTGGGGGGCAGTTCTGTTTATTTTTATATAATAGATCGCTTTTTATTTGGGGTTTGGAGGTCCTGACCGCTTCCAAATATTCCAAGCCTTCCTTTTGGAGCTTTCGTGCATCATTCCTTTTTCTGATTTTGGATCTCTCCTCCTCAAAAACATAGGTTTCGAAGTTCTCCTGATTTCTTATATCCCATCTTTCATCTTCTGGCGGTGGTCTTCATTTAGCCCTGTATTTAGTTTTACTAAAAATCGTTTCCACTTTGTTCTGTAGGTTCTTTTCCCATATTAAACTGACTAGGTCATTTAACAGCTCTTCCTCATTCCTTTCTTTTAATTGTTGAATTATTTTCCTACTGTTGTTTCTTTCAATGTATGATTGTTTCTTAATATCCTTCTCCTCGTGGTATAGGCTCCCACATTCGCATACCACCTCCTCTTCTGGAACTTTATCTAATTCATGTTGTAAAAGGGGGCCATACTTATTAATATATGGAGCCTTATACTCATAATAATCCAAGTGTTGATTTCCTGTTTTTCTCTTTTTCTTTTTTTTTTCCTATCCACTATATCCTTGTTCCTGTTCATTAGTTCCTGTTCCTCATTTCCTAAATCAATATATCCTTGATTTCTTGGTTTCTCCTGTCTTTTTCCCTTTTCCTGTGATTCGTTCCATTTATTTACTTTAAATGTTAGTCTTGGTACTTCTTTATCCTCCCAATATTCAATTTTTGGCCTAGACTGTAATGGTGGAAATTCCCATCTTCCTTGCTTTGATTCTCTTCTTGTCGTTTCCATGTTTTCATTATGAGATTTGGCTTCGATATATGTTTTCACTGTGTTGTATGGCCAGTTGCGATAGGCCATTACTTTTTTAATATTCGCCTCTTTTTGAAATATCGGGCACTCTTTTGACATACTTGGGTGTGCTCCAGCGCAGTTCGTACAGTGTGGTTGTTTGTTGCATTCACCATGTCTTTCCTCTCCACATCTTCTACAGTTAGAGACTTTGTTTCTGCACATTTGTTGGGAGTGTTCAAACGTGTAACACTTATAGCACTGTTTCACCGACTCTACGAAAGGTTCTACTCTTAACCAAACATGCCCGTAGCCGATCAACATCTTAGTTGGGAGTGAATCCCCCTCAAATGTTATTAAAATAGCTCTTCCTTCCGTCCATTTAACTTCTCCGTTTTTATATGTTCTTTTCTTTAACCTTTCAAGTTTATATGTTCCTTGTCCCGGCATAAGTTCTGCTTCCAGTTCATCGATGCTGTCCTCCCATTCGTGGATAACACCTTTTCTGATCATTTTCCTGTACGGCATACTCGCATAGCATTTGCTGTCATCGTTTTCTCCAGCCATGATTATGAGGTTCGCTTCTTCTTTGTTTCTGTAAATTGTTACGACCCAGGGCGATAGCGACGCGCGTGTGAGCCCTGCGAGTAGGATGGATTCGAGAATTGCACCGATACGATTAATTAGTATGTATCAATGGAGCCGAAGATTTGAGGATAGAGTAGATAATGCAGACGACTTTGACGCGAAGTCAGATAGTTGCAGGAATCGGTATCTCACAGTGAAGGGTAACCGTAGGTTAAGGTGTTTGGTTGTCTTGGTTATTGGAGTCAAACGCAGAGACGCCTCTGACGCGGTCAGGTAGCTACAGGAATCGGTATCTCCCAGTAAAGGGTAACTGTAGGGTAAGGTTCGAACAGTGAGGTTGTTGGAAAAAGTGCAGCGACTCTGGCGCGAAGTCAGATAGCTAGCAGGAATCGGTTTCTCCCAGTAAAGGTTAACCGCAGGATAGGTTAAGTTTAGGAGTTCGGGTTGAGTACACAATGACTAAATCGTATCGTTAAAATGTAACACGCGTCGTTAATAAAGCCTCGCAACTTGTTAATTTAATAGAATAATAACTCGTGCGGTAAAGTTATTATGTTGTGGGATCGTTACACTGGCTAGGATTGGTGATTTCAAAGTAAAGGTTTGATGATTAATCTCACAGACTTTTAAGTTTACACAAAGAGTATATATTCAAAAATAACTATACTAATTACAAGTGTGCACTGTCGTGTTGTCGCGGGTAGTGTATGAAGTTGAGATTACCTAAGTGTTGCGCGGTGTTGACGCACTGGCGAAGCGGGGGTCGAGAGTACTTTTATGGTCGTAATAGATTTTAAAACCGTCTTCGCGGATCTATATGGTAACGATGATCGAAAGGAACTGAAGCCCGATCTCACTAGAGTGCTGCTACTCTACAGACGATCAATGTGTCTCTAACGAGTATCTCTTTCGTACTAGCCCCCGAGCAACGAAAATCGTGGGTTTATATACCCCTAAATGTTGGTGGGGAACCGCCAGTGATTTCCATATTAGGAAATTTGACGGTTAGGATTTTCGTTGCTCTGAGGTCGGCAGCTGTGTGCCCTGGGAAAAGGGTAGATTAGAAAGTATCCCACGCAACGCGAGTCAAAGATGATATTAAGAGGATGCAGCTGCAGGATGCACTCCAGTGAGACCGAGCTCCAAATTCCAGAAGGGTAGATAAAATAAAATTAATGTATACGTAACAAAATTATGTCCGCTCTGTTAAATTCTACCATTTTGATTGATGTTGGTATTAGCTTATATTGGCTGATCCAACGGTAAATTTTGATTAAATTATTTTTCTTGTTTTTGGACATAAATTTTTTTTAAGTCCTACTGTAACTGTGTATTCCTTGTTTGATAAATCCTTTTTATAGAGTTGGATTAACTTCTTATCTTGTATATTATTTTTGGCCTTGTCAGGTTCTTGGTTCTCTTTTTTCTTGTTTTTGTTGTTTTCTTTTGTTAATTCTTCTGTGTTTTTTCCTTCATTCGTAATTTTGCTTATTCCTTGTATCTGTAATAAGGAAGTATGATTATCAATATTCTTATCCTGTTCTCTGAGTAGTGCATGTCTAAACGTTATTTCTTCGATGCACGTGGTGTCAGTGTATGGCCTGTGTGATCTTGTCGTTTTGTCACCTTCTGATTTAGTCTTTAATTTATTTGATTTTTTTACCTGTTTCTTCTGTATTTCCCACTCTTCTCTATTTTCATCTACCTTCCTTTTTTTGGTAAACCACCATTCGTTGTCTTTTAATCTTTCCTGGGTTTCCTTTGGTATTCCTATGTTCTCGTGACTGTTATCTTCTCGGTTTCCTATTTTCAACTGAAGATCTTTGTTCGATCTGTCTTCCTCCTTCCCCTCTTTAGGTGATGTAACCGTTATTTCATTTTTCTCTTTCCCCTTCAGAGGGCAGGTCTGTGCTTCCTTTAGAGAGTGCTTATTTCCTGTCCTTGCCGTTGCGGTATTGGTTGGTTCCCTGACTTCTAACACGTGATTGGACGTGGCCGCAGCTACATCACAGATAGCTCCCTCTATCCTTTCTTCCGGTATTTTCTCCTATTTATTACTCATTTTTTGTACAATGGCCTTATATTCCTCTAAAATCTCCAAATTCTGACATAGTCCTTTATCTTCATTTTCCTTAATTTTCCTTAATTTTCCTTTTGATTTACCTTGATTCTACAACTTCTATTTCCATTTCCTTTCCTTTATCGTTAATAGCCTTTTTTATTTCCTCTTCCGTTGTCTTCATGCTGGGTTCCTTTCCTATTTCTTTTTTCCTACTGTCTTCCATTTTTTAAATAAACTTTCCTTTTAATGCGGGTTCCCCCGCGGGGAATGCACTTATTAGACACCCGCTCCCTATTCAATGTTATTTAAAACCTTTAAATAAGTAACAAAGGGTATCTCTACCCCTACTCCCCACACCTGCTAGTCCCAAGAAAACTTATTCTAGGGGCTTTATGCTCTTAGAATAGACTGTGTCCCTTTTTTCCCTAAAGTCCCTACCCCTCAGTCACTTTTCCTCTCGGGTTGCACTTCACCTTAAAGTTTTTTCCCTGGTTTTTCACGATAATTTTCGGCACGTTTCTCAAACACGTCCACACATCTGGGCTGTTAAACTGGAAGTCTGCCATTGGGGGGAATTCTCTTGCACTATAACTAAATGCTTGCTTACCCTCTTGCCATGTGTTGTCTGTGTCCATAGTGTTATCCGCCAGTCCTAATTCCAGTTTTGCCGCTATCCTGGCTTCTTGGAATGACCAGTTTTTATAGGCTATTAGTTTGTTTGTAGCAGTATCTAACTGTGAGAAAACGCATCTTCTGTCTAAAGCTGTGTGTTCCTCTCCGCAGTTATTGCACTTTGACTGTTTGTGGCATTCTCCATGGAATTGCTCCCCACAGTTAATACAGCTTTTAGTATTCGACCTGCACCATTTCTTGATATGACCATAACGCAAACAGTTGAAGCACTGTCGAACACTTTTTATGAACGGTGATATGTTCAGGGACAGCATCCCGTCCATTATCATAATCTTTGTCGGTAGGCTACAACCGCTAAATTTGATCAGTATGAGGTGAGATTCCCTCCATTCAAACCCTTTTTTTCAGCCGTTCCAGGGAGAGAACATTCTGTCCCGAGACTATCTCTTCTTTTAATTCCTTTAGGGAGTAGGACCACACCCTTGTGACTCCCCATCTTTCCTCCGCCCTTTTAGGAATGGATAACCTGAAATTTTCTTTATCCACGTTTTCGTATTTTTTGAAAATGACTCTACAGTCCTCGTCCCCTTTAGCCCTAATCTTTGCGGAGCTTTTATTAATCATTTTTATCGATTCTATGTGTTTAATGTTTTCTCTGAAAAATTTAAAGATTTTTATGTAGTTAGTTTTTTTGTTTATATTTATCTTTTCTTTACAATTATTTTTAAACAACGTTTTGATTTCAAAAAATTTAATCGCGTTATTTTCCTCAGTCGATTCGCTAATAATTACTCTTTCGCTTTGTGGCGTTTTTGTATCCACGTGTTCCTCCATCTTTTTGTCAGTAAATAATGTGTCTGTCTTACCGTTTATTTCTTTTTTTCCGTTCGAGTTAGTTTTATATATTTTTTCTTCCTGGCTTTCCTTGGTTTTATCTATATTTATCCCACAATTTTCACTTTGCTATTCTTTACTTTCGACTCTTCTCTGGACTGATTCTCACTATTCTTTGTTATACTGCGTATCTTTCTAGTTTTCCTTTCTAGTGATTCAATTCCGCATTCCTCTTCCGAGGAGTTGTCCCTGTAACCTATTGGTCTCTTGGTTGACTTTCTTGTTTCCTCTTTGGCTCCAGACAGCTTTTCAATTGGCGTATACACCAATCGTATTGGCTTGTTCAGACGAGTTACCGGCGTCGGTCCAGATTCCGCCATTCCTTGGCGCGTTGATGCGTACCCCCCGGCGGAGGACCCCCTCCCCCGGGCAGGTTATGTTCAATTTGGACTCTCTTCGTAGAGTGCTCTACACTGCAACCTGCATCCACCTCCACAAGATCCGAACACTACACCTCTCTCCTGTGCTTTCTTGATCGTTTGTAGATTTTTTAAAACTCTTCGCAATGTGTAATTTGGCAAAAACTGTTAAGCGAAAAATCTCTTATCAACGCCACCTACCGACCTTAGGGTGACGTTAATTGACATTTCATCAGCACCATCTAGCGTAGAATTTTAAAGTGACAAAGTTAAGAGTGTCACGGGTGGTCACGGGGGTGAAGAGGAGTAAAGGGGAATAAAGTCCAATCGTCTGACGGGGGAGGCGCACCATACGAAAGCCAGCTTCAATTTGCCGCAAGCCATCCCGTATCCATAGTATATAGATCAGTGAATACCCTACCAAAAGAGGATGCGTGCGCATCGATCCCACTCGATTCCGTATCGAAGGAGCTCGATGCGAGAACTAGGACTGGCACTCTACGTTTTGGAAGCGACCGCGACAGCACGTTCAAATCCTTCAGCGAAAACCGGTATCCAATCGAGTGATCAAACCGATCAAGTAACTTAGTTACTTGCATACGCGCCTCAAACCGAGGAGTCACGTGCACAAACCGAGCCGTGGCACTGCTGCATCGTGATTTGTAACGACACCAATCCGGCGTGACCACGTAGTAGTCAAAAGCGATAAAGTAACGAAGGTATGCAACGAGAGGGAGACGGTCTCTTTTGCTGAAGGAACGGGTGAGAGGTAAGCATTTTAGGGGTAAGTTGTCACAGTAGGATTCCGCGGAAATTACGATCGGATTCGCACTGTTGGAATCAGGCGTCCGTCACCAGAGAGTACCAATAGCTCACATTCGTGTCCTTTGGTGAACTCCTAGGTGTCAAAACCTGGTTTCGGCTTCGTACAAGTCTCCACCCGAACATTTCCTCCGAGAAATCGGCCGAATGGGAAGGTGCTGCGACAAATCCACAATCGTGCATTTGATCACGAAGTGAATCCTGAACGCGCTCACCACTTCACCAAACTGTGTGTATTCGGTTTCAAACGTAGCAGTCTCTTAAGAAAACACGTGCAATCTCGTGTGAATGTGGATAGGCATTCAGACGTCTTTGTACAACCAACTTTGGGTTTTCCTAAGGTGTGTCTCCCAATCGTTGCCCTATCATATTTGGATTGATAGATAAAGCGTGCCAGTCACAGTTATTCACGTTACCACAAATAATATTGTTAATTTACGATAAATCGAACGGACGAGAGTAGT